GAACTATAAGAAATCAATTTCTGTTCTTTATAGATTTGAGGTATTTTGTTTTAGCAACACAAATGGACTAATATAAAGTCTATTCTGTCTAAGTATGGACACTCCTGCTCTCTTTTGGTTGCTATTTGCATGGATTGTATTTTTCTATCCTTTCACTTTCACACTATGTGCAACGTTAAACCTAAAGTGAATCTCTTGGAGATAGCATATGCAATAGTTGGAGCTTGTTTTTTATAACTATTTAGCATCCTATGTTTATTGGACAATTTAATGATTTCATGTTTAAAGTAATTATTCACAGGAAATGGATTTCTGTTGCCGTTTTCTTCATGGTTTTCTATTTGTTGTAGTTCTTTTGTTTCTCTTTTCCTTTCTTGCTATCTTCCTTTGTGCTTCATTGATATTTTTGTCTTAATAGTGATTTTTTTTCCTTTGTGTATTTTCTATAGAAATTTTATTTGTGGTCATCATAGGGCTTACATAAAACATCTTGTTAATATAATAATCTATTATAAGCTGATAAAATTTAACTTCAATTGCATATCACACCTCTTATTTCTTCCCCCTCCACACACAAACTTTGTTATTGATGTCACGAATTGCAGTTTATATTGTATATTTATTAATATGTTTTTAAAGTTGTGGTTTTTTAAAAGTTGATTATTTTTATTAGAGGGAGAGAGCAAAAAAGAGAAAAGAGATACAAGTGTCCTTGACAAAGTGTCACCATACCACAATCCTCTCCCCAGCCTCTCGGCCATCCAGGATCACAGGAGTTCAAGAGTGTTCAGATCAACCTAAGATTTGAACCTTGGCCTCCCTTGTAGCTCCAATATTGTGCAGCAACACCCTACTACCTAAGCCGCATCTGTGGATTTGTCTTCTCTGTATTTGTGTGTGCGTATTTCTAATGAGAAGAATCACTGGTTTCCATTTTTGAGAAGCTCATAATCTCTTGTTCCCTTTGGTATCTGCTACATCTATGTTTTCTGAAGTGGCAGCACACTATCCATCTTTTTTCTTCTTAGTAGCCCTTAATCATCTGAGAGGATGTGAAGCCTTGCTAGTGTCCCAAATTGGGCTCTACAGAAACCAGTCCCTTTGGAAGCTCCCTGAAAAGCTGAATGTTGAACATATGCTTCCCTCTTCTCCTATCCCTTGAGGGAGAGCACACCATGCTGTGTTGCCTCTCCTGTACCACGGTCCTTCAGAGCAGCAGCATGCCACCAGCTCTTTTTTCCTTGTTAGTGGTCTCCAGGCACCCAGAGTCGGCCAGGTCCTACCAGTGCTCCAAGACAGGTAAGAAAGAAATCAGTCTCTTGGGCATGTCCTTCTGAAAGTCTGGCTTGTTGGATGTACATACTACTCTTCTGCCCCAGAAGGAGAGGCCACTGAAATATACCACTCTGTATTATGGGCACTTTAGAGCAGTAGTACACTACCCAGTTTTTTTTTTTTTTTTTTTTCCCTTCTCAGTAATCCTCAGGTATCTAGAGTATGCTGGGTCCCTTTGGCTCTGAGACAGAGAAAACAGAAGAACCAGGCCTTTAGACAGACCGCACAAAAAGTCAGAATTCAGATGTATGGTACAGTTTCGTCTTTATCTCCTCAGAAAGAAGCTAGAAACTTGGAATTTCCTCCTGACTGTGTGACTCTGTGCTAAGGGAAGGGATTCACATGAGAAGGTACTACACATTTTTCTAATGGCTTTGATATGGCTGCTTTTGTGCTTACCAGGAAAGAAGAAGGTTTTTAAATGGCTTTTGGATTTCTCACAAAAGGAACTGGTTTGTGTGGTGTTGTTGAATCGGTGTCTTTACAGAAGGAAGGAGGACCAGGGTTTTCTATTCTGCCATATTGATGACGTTCACTGTGGTTTTGATTTGCATTTCCCTAATGACTAGTGGTTTTGAGCATATTTTCATGTGCTTATTGCCCATTCATATACCTTCTTTGAAGACATAGCTATTTGAGTCCTCTGCTCATTTTTTAATCAGGTTTTTGTTATTGTTGAGTTGTAGGAGCTTTAAATGTATATTAGAAATATCAATCACTACACATGTGGTTTTTTATATTTGAATTATTTTATTTAATTTTATTTATTATTATTATTTTCCAGTTTTATCAGAGAGAGACAGAAAGAGAGAGAGCGGAAAAGTGAGGAAGCAAGCCACCAGGACCAGGACTTGAACCGCGATCAGCCATATAAGCATCTAGTACATTTAATCACCATGCTACCTGCTGGCCCCTAAATATGTGGTTTTAAGCAACTAAGTTTTGGGAATTTTTCTTTATACAGTCACAGATAACAAAGGAATACAAAAAACTTCTGACTCTAACTATATTATTTGTAATATAGAAATATTTAAAACTAGATATTGTCTGATATTAAAGAGATAATTTTGCTACAATGTATCTACCTTATCTACTATTAATATACTGTTTAATGACTTTTAAACTTCTATATATAAGTTTATATAGCATAAGAAAAGACTTAAGTGAAAATTAGAGTATACAATGATACCAAAAAACTGAAAAATGACAATTTACATTCTTAATTTATTTTTGTTTTTATAATTTTGTTTTATCCCTAATGTGTCATGTACAAGAGGTCTTCAAAATGTTCAGGTAAATGCATATTATGAAAAAACTGTGCTTGAATTTCAAAAATTCAGGGTGCAAAAAAACCCCTTGTATTTCAATACTATTTATCTGTGAACTTTTTGAAGTCCCCTTGTAGCTTTAATATTATTTGCACCCTGCTCTGCAATAATTCATTAATTTATTTAGAATAAAAAATTTATTTTAATTTTACTATTGCTGTCTTAACTTTTTTTTTTTTGAGAAGTTTTTCGCTATAGCTGCGTGCACTCGCCAGAAAGACAGAGAGAGACAGAGAGACAGAAAGCAAGAAATCACCCCCCAGGGGGGATGGCCACGCCACAATCCCTTCTCCTCCATTCTCCTCTCGGGATCCTGGGCACGCACGCACACGCGCCCGGCGTGAGTTTAAGCCACCGAGTTCGGGAACTGAACCACGGTCGACTACATAGGAGTACAGTGACATAGCCATTATGCTAACTGCTGGTCCCTTGCTGTCTTAACTTTTAAAAAAAATTTCAATCCATATGAAATGATCAAAGTTAGCAAAATAATCATTATACATATTTTTATTTAATGATTGATAATTTGATTTTGCTTCTTGTTCCAGTTAGTGGTTCTAGCGTCTGTTATTTTAAAATTTCATTAAAAGCTGTATAAATAATTGTCTTAGTCCATTTTCTGTTGCTTTAACAGAATACCACAAACTGGGTAATTAATTTACAAAGGACATTTGTTTCTTACAGTTCTAGGGGTTGGAAAGTTCCAGAGTAAGAGGCCATATCCTGAGAGGGCCTTCTTTCTTTCCTTCTTTTTTTTGAAGAGGTTTTTGCTATAGGGCAAATGTGCTCACTAGAAAGACAGAGACAGAGAGCAAGAAAACGCCTCCCAGGGGAGATGGTCATTCCCCATTCTCCTCTTGGGATCTTGGGCATGCATGCACAAGTGTCTGGCCTTTGTATAAGCCACTGGGTCCAGGGGACTCAAACTGTGGTCAACTACATGGGAGTCCAGTTACATAGCCATTATGCCAACTGCTGGTCCCAGAGAGAGAGAAAGGGCTTTCTTTCTAGTTATCTCATGATGGAGGTATGGAAAGTGAAAACAAGTATGTGAGACAGAGAGAAATGGGCCGAAATTCATTATTTTATCAGAAATTCATTTCTTCAGTAATTACCCACGCCCACAATAGTAGCATCAATTCATAAAAGCAGAGTACTAATCCCTAATCACCTCTTAAAACCCTACCTCTTAATATTATTTCTTAGTGGGGATTAAGTTTTTCAACATGAGTTTTAGTGGGGGCATTCAAACTATAGCAATAATCTACTTCAAAAAATTTTTTCACTTCGAATTCTGATTTAAACTAATTTATAATTACAAAGGGACTTCAAAAAGTTTGTGGAAAAATGAAATTAAAGTAAAATTTTTATGCAAAAGTATTTTGAAATTTATGCATAGTTTTTTTCCTGTCACTTAAAATCGAGTAAGAAGTAAGTTGTTTTTGTTTCTCTGCAGTCATTCTATTTTCCCTTTGTCTTTGGATTTAAAAATGTTCACAATGATTTGTTTTAATGAGAATCCACTTTCATAAATGTTGCTTTGACATACTGTACTTTGAATTTCTAAATGGCGCCACTTTGGGCTCATGTGAGGAAATTCCTTCTAGTATAGTTTCTGCTTAATAAAGTCTATATTTCTCTCTCAAGCAAATAATCTAATCTTATAATGCCTTTTTTCCCCCAAGCTTCTGTTTCAAAATATTATCTTCTTTCTTTTGTTTTGTTTGTTCTGTTTTGCTATAGGGTGCATGCACTCACCAGAGATTGAGAGAGAGAGAGAGAGAGATTCTCCTTGCCAATTTAATGATT